GTGTGTGTGTGTGTGTGTGTGTGTGCTGAATTACAGATGTGTAGAGATGGGGAGGTGATTACAGTCATGACACTGGGGGCTGGATTACAGAGGATTACATGTATGCACACTTGCGCTCACACACACACACACAGTTCATGACACAGGAGTCTAAACGCTAATTCTGAAGCACAAAGAGGTCAGAGAGCGACGGACCACGAGGGAGAAACAAAAGATGGAGACGTTCTGATGGATTATGTCGAATCATCATAAAAGTGAAGCAGCACTTGTGTTTGACCGTCCTTCTCCTTCCTTTCGTTCTTTCCCTCCTCTTTCTGCCCCCTTTCCTTTCCAGGCAGTAGGCTGGCATCATGGCCATACCTCCTCCCTCTCCTCGGTCTCCGCTCTTCCTCCTCCTCCTCCTCTTCCTCCTGCTCCTCATCTCCTCCCCGCTCCCCCTGCAGGCCCGGCCTCTCCTCCTCCACCCGTCCATCAACGTGGCGGTGGTCTTCAGTGGCTCCAGCTACCAGAATGAGGTCAGGGGTCGTCTCAGCGGGGAAAACTTCGTGGACCTGCCCGTGGTGGTCAGCCCCGTGACGGTGCTGGTCAACGACACCAACCCCCGCGACCTGCTGACACGCCTGTGTGATACCATGGCAACAGAGAAGCTGCACGGCGTGGTGTTCGAGGACGATGTGGGCTCCGGTGCCGGAGTTCAGGTAAAAGCTCCTCGGCAGAGTCACGGTGTTCAGTCGCCCACATCCTTGTTTCCTAAAACTAGAATCCTTCATGTGGTCTGGAATTGAAAGTGGACAATTAAAGTTAGAAATGACATCAAATCTTAATTTATGATACGATCCAAAGTTCCACTGAGCTGGTGCAACATTCTCAACTTTCCTTCTGGAAACATGGAACCCGTCTGTTTTGTCCTCAGGTGGCAGAAGTGGCACAGATCCTGGACTTCCTCTCCACTCAGACAGCTCTGCCAATCGTGGGCATCAGCGGTGGCTCTGCAGTTGTCATACCATACAAGGTAATGTCAAAATAATGAACCTGTCACTTCAGCTCCAGCCCGTCGGCTGCCTGCAGACTGGATCTGGACCAGAGAAGTCTGCTTATGCTTGCTATGCCACAAAAACTGCGTTTCACCCGGAGGTATTGATGTAACATTAGACACATACAGTATAATGTGCAATTAAAAAAAGAAAGGAAAAGAGATTGTAGGAATTAATTGAACAACAGCCTCTAGTAAAGCCTGTCGCTGCAGCGCTCGCTCCTCACAGCCTCCTGTCTTCGTCAGAACTCTTCCTCACCGGCGTCATTCAGCTTAAAACAACTTAAGTAGGTCAGAGCAGTGAAACCTACTTTGGCGAGCAACTCCCTGCATGCAAATATTTGGATATGAGCAATACAGATGGGTGAATTGTCAGTGATGACTGCAGCCATCGACCCTCATCAGCTCCTCTAATCCCTGGCTAAGAAAAGTCTAAATTGTGGGAAGGGGGAAACTTTGCGAAGGGGAGACGAGTGCTATGGGCGATCGGCGCCTCAATCAGTCATCCCTGCGCAAATTGAGGAGCAGCAGGTTTTCCTGCTATGATTTAGCAAGTATCTGGTTGATGAATGGATATGGAGAGCTGTGAGCTGTGTAGTTAGACAGTAAAGAAGAGATTAATGGCACCAGGCTGGATTCTTAATCTATGCTTTTTCTCCACTTCTGAGCAGCATAATAGCTCCATCCCTTCTTCCTCTCGCTCCTCATGTTTTCCGCTCGTCCTCCCTTCCTGCCTTTAACTGCTTAGCTATCATCAACACCTTGTATTTATAGAAGCAGCTCTCACACGTAGAAACACACATGCAAATGAACACCCCCCCCCCCCCCCCTCCACACACACAAATGGGTGAATCCTGGAATGTTTGCAGAATCTAACCTGAGATTAGAAGTGTAGAAATGAGAGCGCAGGATTTCTCCCCCAGGCAAAACATTTTTTTAACCCCTCACCGCGTTGCGTTTATCAGATTCACATTAATCAAAAGTGTTTGGAGGCGTCATGTCGGGTATTAAACAGAGGGAGTTGTCGCTGCAGGAGGGAGGTTGATTTGTATTTTGATGGCGGAGTGGGAAACGCATAGTGAGTGAGTGAGTAAGAGGCAGAGAGAGGAGTGAAATGACAGCTGCCTGAAGGATGTGTTTTAGTGTCTCACAGATTCATCTCCCTTTTCCCTCTTCATTCTTGTTTTCTCGCTTTTTTATTCTACTTCTCACCTTGTCTCATATCCCCTGTAACTTTCTGTATTTCCTTTTAGCCCTTCAAACCATATTTTTACCATATTTCCCTCCTGAACATATTCAAATCCAGTTTTTTTGTGCACTGAATTCATTAAGCGACAGCTCCGTGCTCCTCCCTGCTCTCTTGGAGCTCCAGGACCCTATTAAACTGTTAATTAGACCCTTCAGGAGGCTGAAGCCCCCCATAGCCCTTCATCATTCACCTCCAAACCAAAACCACTATTCTCTTCCTTCTATTTTTTGTTTTGCTGCCTTCCTTACGTATTCTCCCTCTTCCTCCTATCGTCACTGCTTCACGTTAAATTGGCAAAAAGGAGTTCACATCCCAGACGTGCTGCTCTTCCACAGCGCAGAAGTATCTACGAGCCTCCAAAGTATTTGGGGCAAAGTTTGTCACTCATCTGAAATCTCTATTATGTCATTTGCGAAGCCGATCACGGCCGGCTCAGTCTGGATTATTTAACCTCTCCGCTTGACAGAGGCAAAAAAAACAAACGCACAGATGGGACGTTGTCTGTTGTGCCGAGCGACCGCTTGCCTGGCGAGCTCAAAGTGCTGAGTGACAGTTCTCTATATAGCTCAAAGACTTATGCTCTCTCCTCTGAGGTGTGCCTGTCGAAGGCCTCATTCAGCCCTCCTCCTCGCTCTCCCCCTCGCTCTCATTCTCTCTTACACACTCCTTTGTTGCCAGCACGGAAAGAAAAAAAGCTTGTCGGAGGTGTTTGGCACAATGGGACAGGTGGATTGGACGGAGAAAGACATATGTCTGAGTGCGCGATTCTCTTAGGGGATAAAAGAGCTCAATAGTGCTTGATTATCAATAGCCCGATGATGATGAATATCTTTGATGGTGGGTTTAAAAAGAAGCAGCAGCCGTCCGGGCCACCTATTTATGGCTCCTGTCTCAGTGATCTCTCTATGGCAAACAACAAGGAAGGAGTGAATGAGACGAAGATGAAAAGACAGAAGGGAGGAGAGGAAGTGTGTCTTTTGTCAGGCGGCACATACATCAAGCGAAAGGAAATGAGAAAGAATGAGGAACGGCTGAGAAAATGCATAAAGAGTGTTCAATAGGGCCTGTGAGTGAAAAGAGAGAAGAACATTGAGTGTGTTTTCTCTTTTTGTTTGTGTGTGTGTGTGTGTGTGTTTGTGTGTGTGTGTGTGTGTGTGTGTTGGCTGGTGAGTCATTGCAGTCTGCTGGTTGATCATTGGGGGGGCTGCATCCAGATGTTGCGTCTTGGGAGCGGTACAGCCGGAGAGAACAGGCGAGGAGTTAAAGGGATAGTTCACAGAAAAATTTAAATTCCCCCCATTATCCTCCTCACCACTAAAAAACTGTTCATACAATGAAATACAGTATGTTCCACGTGACGGTGGAACATCTCATTCTGAAACAACCGGCTGCTGTAACAGCCTCCGTTAACTTTGTGAAAGGGTTGAACCACAATCGTTCCCTGAAGCCAACCACGTTTTTTTGTTGCCGAAACAACAGCAGCTGAAAAAGCGAAGCCTGAATGTCTTTCTGGCAAAAAAGCCCGGTAGGCAAACATGTCGCCCACAGCAGAAGTCATTTCACCAGATTTCATAATGTGGCTGCAGGGGTCCTCCTCTCATTCGGCCTCAAGAGTGTAATAGTGAAGTCAGGCGTCAGTGTTTCACTTCGTACTGAAGGTGTCGGATGAGTTTGACGTCAGCGCTCGTTGGTTCAAGTCACATTTATTCACAATAAACGTTTTCTCTCAGCACGTGATACTTACAACAAGTCATAATATATATTCTTCTTATTGTCAACACATCCAATGAAAGGACCTTAAGAGCCTTAAGATGGACGACATGACAGCTCCCCAGGTCACCTGGATCGCCCCCTGGTGGCTGGCTGCAGCATTAGGTCATAAACCCTGAACGAATCTGGCACCAGTGACTCTATGAGAGAGAATCCAGCGACACTCATAACAAAGATCATCACTCAGCTTCAATCACATTAGGAAAAGATCAGTTTGCATTTGTAAATCTAGTATTCACGGCCTCTTGTTAAATAGTAAAAGTGTCATAAAAACGATACGGCTTCTGAGTAACGTTTTGGGAGAGAGCAGATGAATTAACAACTTCTCGTATGTGTTATCATGAGGCACTATAAAATGTCCCTGTTGCACACAGTGAGTGTTTAATCACTCGTGAACCAGATTTTGCTCGTTACGGTTCTGAACATCAAATAAGTTGATTGTGGTTGTAGCCGGTGATAAAGTCTGGAACAAACAGGGCTGACAGCTTTACGTGTTTGCCAGTAAACAAGAACTAAAGCTTTTTAAATGTGAACATGATGGATTTCTGAGGCGAAGCTCGAGTATTTTGAGTGTGTAACATCGTTTATTAGGATTTGAAGCTGTCAGTTTTAAGGAGGTGCAGCGTGAGGTCACTCTCAGGTCGTAATCCGAACGTCTCTCACCTTCTGTTGGGTTTTGTTTCTGTGCTCGGACTGACCTGCTTTCTCCATTTGTCCTTCCATACTCCCGTCTCCGCTCTCCACCCCCCACCCCCTCCTCACTTCTGACTCTCCCTTGGCCTCATGGACCAGAAACCAGAAACTCCAGAAGCAGGTCACGAGGAGCCCAGAGCCGCCGAGCAGTATTCCCTCCTGAAACTGGTTTTCATCGCTGGGAGTGAAATTACGTTCAAGGCCAGACAGCCTCCGAGTTTCAGAGCATGGTCCAGTAATTTCAATAAGGCACTCAGTTAAATTGCTAAAGCTGCGGCTTTTAATGTAGTTTCAGAAGCGTTTTTTTCCCCGTTAAAGGTTACGTATGGGAGGCTGGTGAGACAGGAAGTTTCTCTCCAGTTTAGAGCGTCCGCTAACATGAGCTATGATGGAGCTTCAAAATGCTCATTCTGAAAAGATTGCTTCTATTTAAAGGGTCAAGTCACACAAACTTATATTTTTCTACTTCTCATCACAGTTGTTTTACCACGAGGATAGATTTGGTTTGAGGTTTTGGTTTTGAGATAAATATTCAAAGCGTTCTGCCACCCGACGTCAGCAGCAAAATAACTTTCTTAACACGACTGGAAAAACTTTCTATCCACATTTCATTCAGGGGCACAGCTACCAAAGTCATATCCTCTATAATAATGAAGTACATGCATCTCCAAATCCTTAACATAGTACTCGAGTAAATGTACTTTGTATTACTGGAGAGGAGAACTTGTATATAAGAGATTGAAGAATAGCAATCGACGTTATTGATGCATCTCGGGTCCATATATATACGATCGAGCATCTGCGTCGGCGACCTGCTTCCTGTGTGACCGACGCCAGTCTCTCCAGCGGGGGGGGGGGCAGGTTCAGTGCAGAGTTCTCCCGGTGAGAGGAGTGTGTGAGCAGCCACCGTGTCCACCATCTTCCTGTCACATTACCATACGCTCCTGCAGCAGGACTGCTAATTACGTCTGTGTGTGACAGCCGCATTGCCAAGGTGGTGAGAAGGCTGGGAAGTGAAGGTTGGGTGTGTGGGGGGGGGGGGCTAGGTACGTGTGTGTGTGTTTGAAGTTAGAAAAGAAGCAAATCTGCTTCAGACCTTTTCACAATTTAAGATGCTCAGAGAAGTGATGAAACAAGTGACTGACACGCGATTCTTTTTGTTTTATAGCAACTAATTGGTTTTTAATGACGCGCCTCACCACTCGTCCGTCATATCGGCTGAAGTGGGACACTGGCTTTAACCCGGACTTCCAGCGTGGAGACATTTTTTATTCATTCACTGGCAGCCTGACATGACTGTGTACCGCTATTTTTATAGCTATTCTGGTGCACAGCCCAGTCAGTGGTCTGCTGGCGGTTTGAGCCTCCGGAGGTGAGTCTCCAACAAGCTCCAACTGAGATAAAACCGGTAAAATTGAGTGAAGGAGAGTCAGGCTGTGATATTCCTGTGGTATTCCTCAGGCTGCACGGCTCTCTGGGGATTTGCAGACTCTCTGAGCCGTGGGAGAGGGAAGAGCAACAGGAAGAAGAGATGACAGTTAGTCACCTCTGAGCTGAGGAGAGTCTGAGAAGATCTGAGAACTGGTCCCAAATGGCACTTGACAGTTTAACACTATCTCTTCTCTCACTCTCTCTCTCTCTGCGTACATGTGTCCCGCTGCATGTTGACATTTCACACGTCACGTTGCGCAGGATGATGATGTTCGGGATTTAGGGATGTGAAAAAGGAAAGGAGACCACATTACTCTGATCTTCACCTTCTTGCACCAGCTCGCCGTCCGTTATTGAATCGAATTTAGAATATGACGACTCGTGTTGAACCCGGCACAGTCTTGCTCCTGCTTACATCACAGGTCCTCTTAGGTCTTTCATCCACACTCTGTCACTGCTCAGGCCCCAAATAAGAAAAGGTCAGAGACAGTTTGAATCTGTTGAACCAGTTTTCCAGCTTTGATTTCAGTTTACGCCTGAATGCAGCTTAGATGTTTCGCTTAAGTGTTTTTCTTCTAGATTCACCATGAGTTCGATTTTATTTTTGAGTGAACTGGACGATAAGCGAGTGAACATCAATAACTATGGTGGTTCTTTGACGTTTCCTGTAGCGCCACCATGAGGTTGAAATCCCACGTCTCAACAATTATACAAATTGACACGGACTTTGGTACGAAGGTTGGGATGAGGGAATTTAAAATCCCTTAACTTTCATCTAGTGCGATCAACACACTCGGCACAGATGTTTGCAGATAGTTTCATATCATTCGTTTTTAACTTTGTCGTGTGACCAGAAGGTTTCAGGTTTAAATCCCTGTCTGACAACTGCTCTGACGACTTCCCTGTTAAACTTGAACGTTACACTTCTGTTCAAATCTTCACATCTACATCCCGTCCCTCCCTCAGTCTCACATTCCTTTATAGCCTACTTTTTATGAATGATATATGAAGGACACTCAATGGCCTCTAATTCAAACGGCCCTGTTAACTTTCTTTCTTACCTGTGACACACAAAAATACACATCGAGTTGGTATGCAAATACATGCACAGACAAATACACCATCGGACCACCCCCCCCTTCTTGACAGAACGAGAACAGCAGGACTGAGCGTTTGTAGTTCAGAGACATTTATACCAGACAGTGGTTGAATACGGAAAATCAAAGCTCTTTTGTAAAATGTAAGAAGCTGTAAAAGTGCAAACTGAATAAATATTCATGGTAACTGCTCCAAATACGACACACGACTCGGCATCTGTCCTGCTTAACAGGTTTATTGTGCGTTAGGCAGCGGCTTGTTGTATCTGTCCCTCGCAGTCGATTTCTAAACTTTCACATGAGGCTCCTGGACATCAGGTGCGTACAGTAAACCGTATTCCCCTTGATATCCTGTCGGTTTACTTTTAAAGATTTAAACCAAATACCACAGAAAAGAACAGGAGGCTCTCCCTCTATCTCCCCCCAAAACACACCAGGCGAAATCCTACCTGCGTCTGTGATAGTTAAAACATCCACAAAGATGTTACGGTCCTCCGCAAGCAGGCAGAATCCAACATAAACCCGGTAGATACTGATTTTCACTCAGTCGTCTACTCCCGGCTGATCAGCCTCATCAGGAGAAACCCTGCGGTGAAAATCCGTCCATGTGTTGTTAAAAAATGAACGAATGAAGATTTTTAAAGATGTCATGAATCACTTATAATTTACTCTTCTCTTTTCCACTTAATTGGTTTTAGAGGCCGTTCCACTGTGTTGCCTGTGTGACTTTTAATAGAAACACTTTCACAAGTGATAGTCGCCTTATTAATTGAGATCAAATGATTAAAATTCAGTCTATCACTGGTTTCATCTGATTTTCAAGTATTCTGCAGCCGTAACGATGTTAGAGGTCATTTGAAAACCTTTCGTCAGTTTTCTTCTGACAGAAATCTTTGTTTTACCGATTCACTCAAGGTATTTTTGCCCGAGCAGAGTTTTTCTTTTCACAGGTGAAGAATATTTCATGACCCGAGGGCTCGTTCAGAACTCGTGATGCAATCACAGAAGTGAAGTTAAATCTTGGAATGATATATTTTTCTGCATTTTTGAGAAAAGGGGGAAGAAAAAAAAAAAGTCCTACAATGACAAGACAACATCTCAAAACCATTTTCACAGCAAACATCCATTCTGCTGGAACGACACCAGCACTGAAGTTGCTGTTGCGTCACCCATATTTGATTTCCTGAAAGAGTTTTTCCACCTGAATCCTTAAACGAGATGCTCTTTACAGGCAGAGGGCTCCTCCTTCCTGCAGATGGGAGCGTCTCTGGAGCAGCAGATCCTCTGCATGTTCAAGGTACACAAATATACAACTGACGATTAAACCTCGTTTAAACAGTCGAGAGTCTCATGGATACTGCGTCTCTGTTTCAGCTCATGGAGGAGTACGACTGGGGCGAGTTTGCGGTGATCACCAGCTTGATGCCGGGATACGACACCTTTGTGGATATAGTGGAGTCCTACACAGATACGTCCTACTTCCTGTGGAACCTACAGGATATTTTGACTCTGGAAATGTCTGTTGGGGCTAATGATGCGAGGACAAAGCGCATGCTGCAGCAGGTACGATGAGATATATACAAAACTGTCACTAAAGCCGTTTTCAGTCGTGAACTCATGATGTCATGATGTGGAGTTTGCCTTCTATTTATCAAGAACAGAGCACGACAGTTGCGGAAATCACATCTTCCATCATCTTGACTTTTTCCTGCTGTATTCTACCTGTGGACTCACTCAGATATTTACCAGAGATTTTATTTTATATTTTGTGTAAAACGCTCTTTTGATTTACTGATTTGTTTCTGTAATTTAGAGAAAACTTCATTCTGCAGTTAGCAAACTTTACCCTCACTGTTTGGAGGAACATCTGGAGCGACTGTCTCCTGGTGGCCCCCAGCGCTGCTCCACGTTCAGGTTATGTTTTCTCTTTTCTGTGAGTCACCACTGAGAGATGTGTCCTGGCTTCTGCAGGTGGACTCTCAGGTCCTGCTGGCGTATTGCTCCCACGAGGAGGCTCAGTATCTGTTCCGTCAGGCAGCAGAGGTGGGCCTGCTGGGGCCGGGCTACATCTGGATCCTCCCCAGTCTGGCCGTGGGCAACCCCGACAGCCCTCCACCTGTCAGCTTCCCCATCGGCGTGATCGGCGTGATAACGGACCAGTGGAGGAAGAGCTTGCGGCAGAGGGTGAGGGAGGGCGTCGCCATCGTAGCCAAAGGGGCCGAAAGCTTCAAGAATCAGTACGGTTTCATTCCTGAGGGCCACGGTGACTGCAGCAAGCCGGCGAAACACTCCAACAACAACACTCTGTTCAGGTGAGACTATTTCTATTTGAGAGATCCTCACTGATGCATAGAAGATGATGCCCCTACCGTCCCCTAATGAACCACTTCCAGTCTCCCGCCTGAGATAATTACCTGTGTTTATCTTTGCACATGAATATGTAAATTCTAGGCTGATGTAGAAGTTTCTGTGATTACATACAACAGTACTTTCACTGTTTGAGAGTTTGCTCCTCTGTGATTTTTGCAGGCACATGCTGAATGTGACGTGGGAAAGGAGAGATCTGTCCTTCAACAACCAGGGCTTCCTCTCCTACCCCTCCATGATCATCATCGCTCTGGACAGGGAGAGACTCTGGGACAAGGTACGAGCAGCAGAGGACACACTGACACAAACAGCACGTTGTCAATAAGACTTCATCACAGTGAAGATTGCAGTGTTGACTGTTTGTAAAAAGACATGAAGCCAAAGCATCTCGATCCCCAACCTGGTGGCTGCCTGCAGTGCAATTCATTAACCTTGTCTACTCCATGTTAATAGATGGGACAGGGACCGATCTAATCAGTACGTGTCAAACAATTATTTCTCAAATTAGACCCTCAAGAGATAAGGGTACAAATGAGGGATGGCTCATGTACCTCACGCAGTATCTTACTCTCACGTCTGTGTCCTCAACTCTGTTGATGTCGTGGACACGTTTAAAATTTTTTAAATTGAACATGTGATCTGAAAGGTGATATTACAAGTCTGTGAGTTTACTGTTGGAGCCTCATCCTTCTCTTACTCCAGTTTCATCATCACCATGTCTTGCAGTTTTCACTCCCTTATACACACACACACACACACACACACACACACACAC